GTAGGCAATCAGTATGTCATGATCCATGTGAGGCTTTGAAGAGAAGATACTATGTGCTGAGACACTGTGTATGTCACTGATACATGAATGTTACATCAATTAGTAAACCCACCCCATCTTTCCAGAGGCCTAAGGAATGGCAGGGAGTGAGGCAGCCTTTGTAGGTCTATAGGGTCTCTATCTACATTGTTAGTTATCCAAACGTGAAAACAAAAACAAAACTTTAAAAAACAAAACTCTGAGGTGAAAAAGAAAAAGGTTATCTTAGGTAATCTTAAAAAGTATACAGGAGGCCGAAACCGGTTTGGCTCAGTGGATAGAGCGTCAGCCTGCGGACTGAGGGGTCCCGGGTTCGATTCCGGTCAAGGGCATGTGCCTGGGTTGTGGGCACTTCCCCAGTGGGGGATGTGCAGGAGGCAGCTGATTGATGTTTCTAACTCTCTATCTCTCTCCCTTCCTCTCTGTAAAAAATCAATAAATAAAATATATTTAAAAAAAAAAAAGTATACAGGAGATGTACAGATTGGTAGTTACAAAAGTCATGGGGATGTAAACTATAGCATAGGAAATATAGTCAGTAATGTAATAACTATGTGTGGTGCCAGGTGGGTACTGGGAATATCAGGAGAAACACTTTGTAAAGTATATTATTGTCTAACCACTACGCTGCTGAAACTAAAACAAAATAATATTGAATGCACACTGTAATTGAAAAAAATAAGACAAAAATTTAAATATACAGAACTGTTTTGTTTATGAGATGGAGGGGGGAAGAATTCACTCACATATAACTAATTTTAGGCTTTCAAAAAATTGTCTCAAATAATCAGATAAATTTGATCTCTCTTGACCAATAATTTTGTGAAGAACAAGTGACATTTTAAAATGAGGACACAAGAAGGAGGATTATCCTATCACTAGGGTAGCTGATTGTGATGGCAGAGTGCATTGTTATGGCACCATTGTAAGTGTAAAACCTTGTGTCCTGATGGAAAGTTGACAGATTCGTATGTGCTTCCATATAAACAGTGTTAATTCATTATCGAATTATAAGTTACTTAGAAGTGTTGGCCAGTTAATTTGCTGGACTCTCCAAGGATTCCTTATCCTACAGTGTTGCCTTTGGGGGATTCTGCTCTGATATATCTGACTGCACAAAAACTTTATCCTTCTTCACTGAGCTTTAAGAGTAAAAGGGTTCATCAATTGGAAAGGGCTTGGAGTGTAATCTAAATAAAAATGAATTTTAAAGGAGTTTAAGGTTTGGAAACTAATGAACTACTTGTTTTTCTTGCTCTTTCTTCATTTGCTTCACTGTGGCCTGAGGTGAATGGAGTCCTTTGTTTTGGTTCATCCAAACTGCTCTCTTTAATGTGTGTTCTGGACCATTCCCAAGAACTGCTGTAGGCTTATGTTGAGGGTCTGGGATCTGAGAAAGAACAGCGCTTGGAGGTGTCAGACAGTGTGCTACTGCTCAGTTAAAGATTCAGGCATCTATGCTTTGTACTGTTATAAAACTGGGAACCTTCCCACCCAATAAATTGGTAATGATTTTTTTTTATTTTGTTTTTTTTAATTGTTTCTTTTGAATAAAAAGAAAACGTGAGGACAGGCCACTAGAGGGCAGAATAGTCACACTTCCAGGTGTAATTCATTCTGGAGTGAGACCACAGTCAGAACACATTTACTAATGTTTATCAATATAGGAATTTGTAAAACAATGGAGTATCTACTTTAGGGTGCATACTAATCAGCAGAGGAACTTTTTAAAAATGCAGCTTCTTAGGCCTCTACCCTCAAATATTCTGATTTGATAGCTCTGGATGGGATCCCGGATTCTCTTGGATTTTATTTAGAGAAACGCTGATCTTAATATTTTGGGCATTGTTGCCTGATTATCTTTTGTCTTACGATTATTTTGGGAAATAGAATGTTGTTAATTTAAAGATCTTTGTTTAACAAGTTCCAAAGGAGACTGGCTTTGTAAAGACACAGAATCAAAGCTACTTGTTTTTGTGTGGAGTTATTCTTCAATCAGTAAAAAGGATAGAATCCTTAGGCTACAAGTCTAAAAATTTTTAATTAAATATCCCTTTCATGACCTTCTCACAGTGCAAGCTAAGGGTAAAATTAACCTTTGGATGTCATAAAGACCCCACAGAAAACATCTTGGCATTGTGAATTTTAGTTGCAGAGACCTATGAGTGGAATTTATGGAATCCCATCATCATCTTGAACAAGTATAGAGAGACTCCTCTATATGTAAATATACAACTATGGGAAATACACATTGTCCTTCTAGCAAGGGTGCTGATTTTATTTTCACCAGTGCCCCCAAAAAGCAGTGCATCCTTGAGGGGAAGTTTTGCCATTGCTCTTAAATGGAAAGAAGAATGTGGTAAAATCATTCAAATCTGTGATAGGATGCCACAGCTCAAAAAGTTAGAGAGATGGGGGGAGGGGCAAGTAAAAATGAAACTTGGTTCTGAAGCTGGGGTTTTGACCAATGAAAGGAAGATAGTATTTTTTCAGATGTATATAAAAGCAGTGTATCTTTTTAAATTCTCTCCTGGGCATTCTTTTCCCCAAGAATATAACTCTCCATCATTACATATCTCATATAAATATTTTTTAGTGTTACTTTCTCCTTCCTAGTTTTCAAGGTTCTTCTGTGATTGTACTAGTATGTGGATGAAAAAGAAAGCTCTGTAACCACACACACACACATGCACACACACGCAGATATAAAATTATTTTTGAAATGAAAGTCTAAAACTCTAGAATGTCATTTTAGGTATGATTTTATAGAAATGGGAAGATTATTTTTCTTAGAAATGATGCTGTGTTTACAATAAACTTTAATTATTATCATTTTTAATAATCTATGTTATTAATCTTAACAGTGGTCCTAAAGTTTGATACTAATATGAATTATTATACCCAAGTGATCCTCCCAGTAGAGGAATCTCTACAAGAGATTTGACTTGTAAGCTCAATAAATCCAGTAATGTTAATCACTTGGGAAGCCTACTTATAGTTAATACCTGGAACAGATAATAAAATGGGAATCTGTGCACTATCATCATGGAGCTCAGGACATTTGATGTTAATTTTATTGTAGAGAATTGCTCTGGCTACATAATATAAAAAATTGAATTCTTACAAAATGGATGGACTAATGAATAGCCAGAGATCCTCAAACTGTCTTAGTTGTAGGTATGCCAAGAGTGAATTTTCCCTTTAGCATTTGGGGCAGCCAGGAGAACCTTGGGGTGACAGGACTCCATGGCTGATCATCTCTGCCTCTTCCCCCATTTCCTGCCAGTGTCATGGAAACATGTGTTCTGTTTATGACAAAGATTGGGAAGCACTGTGAAGACCATGCCCTTTAATTGTTTCTAGTTTCGTTCATAATTTTATGATCAGTACCCTTCAAAATGTTACTAGTATTCTCTCTTGATTTTTATCTAGAAAAACATCTTATGCAGCAGCATTATCAATGTCTACTTTGAAATACTTTTTAAAATGAAGTATGCAGGTTCCTTCTAAAGTTTTAGCCTAAGGTGACTTAAAAATAAAAATAGTTTTGAAAAACATTTAGGCCATCATGTATTTTGTAATACAGTTGGGTCACTGCTGATTCCCAAGATACATGTGTTTAAACAGAAGCTTTCTCATTCATCACCAGCCTAAACTTTCATCCAGATTTATTTAATGATGATGCAAGCCCACAGCATTGGTGGTGTAGTTCATCACCATGGAAGTGTTTCTGTCAACAAATCCTCGCTTGGCTATCATGAAATTGATTTTGCAGGGAAAAGGAGGATAACTGTGAAATATTTCTTTTACTTCTAAAGATCTTTACAGTTTGATCTTTACAGTTTATGTCCAAATGAATTGTGTTTCAAATCAATAACAAGCAATAAAATTAACCAAAGTAAATCAACAGTTACAAAGTTGGAAAGGGAAAATGGCAATGAGCTACTTTGTCTGAAATTTTTTGGAAGGTGACTGGGGAACCAGATTTGTAATTTAAAATCTTCCTCTGGAAGCTGCTGCTCTCTGACATAGAAGTATGGATTAAGCTCGGAGGATCCCATGAGCCAGATGCCAGAATTTCTACGCTGCCTTGGTTGAGACTTTCTCACCTACCGTATAAATGGCATAACAACAATCACAGAGGAAATGTCCCTCAACACACACACTCCAAGATCTTTTTTAAACACGCCTTTTCTATAACTTGTGTTTGTAACTATCTTGGCTTTTATTTGCTTGTTAAAAAGTTAAAAAAACAACACATGGTTAAGTTGTAAGCTTCTAAAGGCAGCCATTTTAAAAGCAAGGTAGGAAGCACCTACCTTAAGTAATCCAAATGATTTGAGGAACCAAATAGGGAAAAGGAACAAAAATGACATTTTTGCTTTGAAGCCATGTTCAAGAGTACTTGTCATAGTGGCCAGGTCTAGGTTTGAGTGTAGACATACATGTTTTATGGAGATTTTCATCTGTGGTAGAGATACAGTCAACTCTTGATTGTCAAGGTAACTTTTATTACTTGTATTTCCAAATGTATTTTTTCTGGCTTCCTATCACATTTCAAAGTTTTTTACTTTCACCATCAGCTCATTTGCTCACAAAAGCAAATTATTTAATATTATTTTATTCAGTTATTATCAGTACATTAAGTTCCTAAGTTCCTAAGATGTGTGAAGCATTGTGCTGGGCACCAGAGATATTGAGAGATATCTCCAACACTAAGTTAAGTTTGCTCCTGAGAGATCTTATAGTTCACGTTGAAATCATAAAGTTTTATTGATTTAAACCACTTTCTCTGCCTTTATATGTGATCAAAAGTTGACTGTAACATGGGAAGTAGGTTCTGTTTGCTCTTTTTTTTTCTTTTAAGGAAGAATTAATAGACATTATGAACAGGAAATAAAATTCTGTACATGCAAAAATATAACACAAAAATGACCAAAAGAAAATTCAGCAAGCAATGGTAAAAATAACAAATTATTTACTGCTTTATAATGTTAAGGTATTTCACCAAGACAAGTTGCAATCAAATTAATGTGAGTTATGGAAAATAAAATACATAAAGATGTATTTATACAAGTGCAGATTAAATATTTTCCATACAGGTATGTAAATGAAAAGATATACAGTAAGTGCACACTTGATATGATTATGCAGGCAACAGTTAGTTTCAGGTACTGTTGAATAGTTCATGCACAAACCTTCCCAAAGTACAAGTTCAGTCAGTCTTTGGGGGATGTGGAGGATAATTAAAGAAGACTGAGTTCCTTGCAATAATATCAGTATAGACTGGACGAGGGTCAGTTATATATATTACTTACTGTAATTTGTGATTGTCGAGGAAGAGGTGTGGCTGTTGGTGTGATAGTAATACTGCTGGTGACTTTATTGGTTGTTTTGTTTAGTGCCCCATTAGTTATGCCTTGAGTTCGGTTATCCTGCGGTGGTGTTGAAGGGCTGGCAGGTCTCACGGGGCTGGCTACAGCTTGCATGTAAGGACTTCCTAAGTGAATGTGGATTTTATTATCCTCAGTAGTTATCACACTTGAGCTATTACTGTTTGAACGTTGAAACTGCCATGATGACTGCCTGTCTGGAGAGACTCTGAAAATCGCGTGCTTGGCACTGATTTCTAGTGGCTCTGGGGAGCGTCCCTGCTCAGGAGAGCTCGCTGAACCAGTCACAGCCAAAACCTGAATAGGTGACATTGTCCTTTCTGGAGTTATGGAACCACAAGACTCTGGGGTCTGTGCTCTAGCAAAGGCTGCCATGGTAATTGGGGACATGCCTTGCTCTAAATTCATGAGGCCTTCGGCAGAGGTTTTGGATTTCACTGGTGTTATGGAGGCGTTCTGGAGGATAGTTATCCTTTGCTTTGGGGTGCCACAGTTTGGTATCACTGCAGTGCTTGTGTAAGAGTGAGGACTCTCTGTGGTTGGACTTGTGATTTCAAGAGTGGCTGTGTTTTGGATATGGTCTGGAGTAACCTTTATATGAAGTGGCTGCCCAGGTGTGTGGCTTAGGACTAGATCTCCAGGTTGTACAAAGTTGCCATTGGGTTTAGTTTGTATTTTTCCATTCTGAGGATGGCCCTCCTTGGATTTCATCCAAGGAATCCATAGCTTCCTGTTAATAGGACAGGGAGTAGATGAGTTGCACTTGAAGGACAGCACAGATTCCTCCTCATTTGGATCCTCTTCCTGGTCCTTACTCTCCTCATAAAACTGACCATTGATGACTGCCTGTTCCAGAGGAATGAGACTCTTGTAATCAGGCGGTTCATTGTCTGCTGCTTCTGTTTGAACTTCTTTAGAAAACACTTGAGGGTCAGAGATTTTTCTTCCGTTGAGACTAGGCCGTAGACTCTTACTGAAATGCCGGTACCTCTCTAACTCTTTAGTGAGGTTTTCAATCTCTCTTCCTAAATCTCTGTTCCTGTTTTCTTGTTGATTGAGTTTCTTTTGCAGGACTGAATGGTCTCCCTGGAGGTGACATATCAGGTCCTCAGTTGCCATGTATTCATGAATTTTCTCTTTCAGTGCCTCCACTTCTCTTGAGAGATGCCCTGATTTAGCTTCTTCTTCTTGAAGCCTTTTGAAAAGCCATTGTTCGTGGCTAGACTCTGTCTTTTCTGCCAACTGGTACTTGGCAAGTTCCATTTTAACATGTTCCAGCTCTTCAGATAAAAATTGAGCTTTGTCTCGTTCATTAGCATACCTTCGTTCTAGAGTCTCGTATTCATCTTCTGTTTTCATGAGGTCATCCTCAATGGCTTTCATATCCTTTAACTTCAGTCTCAGTTTTTCTACTTCTTGAGAGAGCTCTTTAATCTTATTGTTTTCTTGGTGTAATGTTGTTGTGGACTTACCAGAATCTTGATTTAAATTGTTTTTTAGGAAATCTTTCTCCACTGCTTCCAATGATTGAAGCCTATTTTTCAATATATTAACTTTGGACAGAAGATCATTTCCTTTCTCCTCTTCTGCTTTCAATTTGTTTTTTAAATCATCTCTCTCCTTGGTTATACTGTACATTTTTTCTTCCACATCAGTTTTGGACTTCAGTGCCCTTTTAGTTTCCTCAATTAACTTCTCAGTAACCGTTGTCACTTTATTTTGCTCCACTTGAAGCTGAGAAGAAGCAGCTTGTAACTTATCTTCAGTTTGCTTTAATTTTTCACTCATTGTTTTCCGTTCATCTACTAGCATCACAGTTAATGTTTTCAGTTTAGTTAAATCTTCTTTTAGGGTGAATTCTGTCTTTTCCAGCTGATTTTCAATGGCTTCTAGCTCTTTGATCCTTACTTTTAAACTCTCCAGTTCTTGAGACAACTGCTTTGTGGTCATCCTTTCTTTTTCTAAGTTGCATTTCAGAGAGTAACATTCTTGTTTGCTTTTGTTGAAAGCATCTTCTAATTTTTCCAGAGCCATAATCCTTTTATTGAGTTTTTCAACCTCGAGTTTAAAGTCTTTACTCTGTGATGTTTCCTTTTCGAGCCTCTTATTGAGATCTCTGCACTGCTCCTCCATTTTTATGAGCTCTTCATCCTTCCCTTCCATTTCTAGCACTCGTTTCCTGAGCTCCTCCACCTCGGCCAAGATACCAGAGTTTCCATATTCTCCCTTGTTGATTTTTTCTTTTATATCTTGGAGCTCCTCTTCTGCTTTTCGTAAAGATCTGTTCGTTTCTTCTAACTCATCAATTTGCCGGCTGAGTGCTGCCAGCTTTTGGCGAAGCTGGCGATTTTGGCTGTCCTCATTGGTGAGCTTTGCCATAATTGTTTCTTGGTTCCGGTGAAACTTTGTGGTCTGCGTTTGCAGTTCTTTCTCTAGTCTGGTTGCCTTCTGCTCTTCTTCCTGAACTCTGGCTTCAGCAAGGGCTAGTTTAGCATGTGTTTCCTTCGTACTTGTGGTTAGGTCTCGGATTTTTTGTCTTTGAAGGGCAAGCTGTGCTGTCAGCCTTTGTTGTTCATCTACCACCATCAAAGCAAAAGACTTCAGTTTGGTCAACTCCTCTTTCAAGGCGGTGACCCTCTTCTCCTTTTCTTGCTCCTTTTTCTCCTGGGATTCCGTTTCTTGGTCAATCAGCTTCTTTAATCTGAAAAACACAAGAGTGCATTGGATTTTGTGACTGGTGCCTTAGTTAACTTATCAGCTCTGATTAAACATTTATGGAATTTAGAAGAATGTATTATCTCTTACAGAATACAGAAAGGAATTCCTGAATTTGATGGGGGAGGAGAATCATCTTGCTTTTCTGCTTTCACTGACCCCAACCCTCCTACCCGTCATTGACTGGTAACAATTGCAGTTCACCAGGAGCCTTATTAGAAGAGTAAGGGCAAGAATATTTGGGTTAAATTGCTTGTGTAGTTTACAATCTATAATAATAAAAGCATAATATGCTAATTCGACCAGACATCCTTCCGGACGACCTTCCGGATGAAGCCAGGGCTGCGGGTGCCTGCCAGTGGTCGGAGGGAAGCCCTGGTCTTGGGTGCCAGAGGGAATCCGGTGCCGGCAGCTGGGGGAAGGAAGGCCTACTCTTGCACAAATTTTGTGCATTGGGCCTCTAGTCCATTATAAACTACTTCTCAGCTTCCTCTTCGTCTCACCTGAAGGCAATAAAAACAGGCACAAGTTTGCGATTCAGTTGGACCTGGCTTCAAGACTGGCCCTCCTCTCACAGCTAACTAATCTGGACAGTAATTTAACATCTCTGAGCTTCAGTTTCCTCATATGAAAACTGGAGGCAATCATTGTATTATCTCAGGGATCATTTGAAAATTAAATGAGGTAATTTGTGTTAAGATTGTCATAGTGCTGGCACATAGTAAGCATTTGATAAGTGTTCATTATTACTGTTGTTCTTTTTTTATTAATGTGGTTATTATATTTATCAAATGGTTTGCTTGAACCATTACAATACATGTACATTAATGTCTGGTGCTCAACTTCCTGATTTGTAGTTAAGATATAATTTTATTCACTGATGGACTTCTCTGCCAATTAAAACTCCGTTTACACTAGCATGACACTGTGCCAGAAATCACTTCACATATATCTTTGTCCCCATAGTGGATGGTAGTTGAATGAGGGGGAAATAAGAGGCATCTGAAGGGGCTTAGAGTTTTTATAACATATGGCAAGAGCACAGGGTTTAATACAGTGGTTCTCAAGCTATGGGTCGCGACCCCATTGGTGGTCGAACGACCCTTTCACAGGGGTCGCCTAAGACCATCCTGCATATCAGATATTTACATTACGATTCATAACAGTAGCAACATTACAGTTATGAAGTAGCAACAAAAATAATTTTATGGTTGGGTCTCAACAAGAGGAACTGTATTTAAAGGGCCAGAAGGTTGAAAACCACTGGTTTAATAGGAAAGAGCTTATTGATGAGATTTAGATAATAGAAATGATAGAGGAAAGACTCTATTACCAGAAACATAATGATCCTCTCTTTAAAATGATTCTATTGTAGTATTTTTTTAACATTTTAAATGTGTTGGCATAACAGGAGGGCATTTTACATGAAATAAACTATCTCTTCCACACACTGTTTTCCTCAGTAATAAGCTCACAGTTTTAAATTTGTGGCACTCTTAATTACACTGGCAATGGGCTGATTATAAGAGGTGTAATTATAGCTTTGAAGTATTGTTATACAGAAGCTAAAATAGAATGGGATCCCCAAAGAAGAATTTAACTAAAATACTTGTCATGGATGAAAAGTTATAAATATTTGTTTTTTGGTCAAGCATGAAGAGTGCATAACATTTTGATTTTATTATTTATTGACTTTTAGAGAGAGAGGGAGATTTGTTGTACCACTATTTATGCATTCATTGGTTGATTCTTGTATCGGGATCAAACCCACAACCTTAGCGAATCAGGACAACACTCTACCAACTGAGCTACCCATCCAGGCACATAATATTTTAAACATTTTTAAAAAATATATTTTATTGATTTTTTTACAGAGAGGAAGGGAGACGGATAGAGTGTTAGAAACATCGATGAGAGAGAAATGTCGACTAGCTGCCTCCTGCACACTCCCTACTGGGTATGTGCCCGCAACTAAGGTATATGCCCTTGACCGGAATCGAACCTGGGACCCTTGAGTCGGCAGGCTATCCATTGAGCCACACCAGTTAGGGCATAATATTTTAACATATCTTTTCTATTAAGAATGAGTTAATTATTCAATGCATGTCTCTAATCCTTGCCAGAGAACTTTTTTTTTTTTTGAGAGTTGTTTAAGGATCTGAGAGGACATTTAAACTAATTTGGGATAGGCTTCTTGGAAATAAGAGGGTTTTTTTGAGATCCTAACTGTAATTACCCTACACAAGATGAACATGTTTAAAATAATTGTATAATGTAAGAATTCCCAAGCTTTTTTGTGGGGAGGGATCCACTTTTAGTTTTTCCTGTTTTGAGAATCTGACAGGAGGCTGGGTCAAGGGCTGTAGCCTGTGAAATTCTGAAGAAGCTGGGCTGGATGCTGGGGTGGGGCTGATGATGATCTCATCCAGTCTTGGCAAGAGGTTTGCCATGGCTTTCAGCCCTGTCCCTCTCCCTGCTTCAGACACCTGGGAGCCTGAGAAGAGAAACATGGCGGCTCCTTCCTGACTGGTTCTGGGACTTTACAACCCAGTGGCAGAACCCATGGGTAAATCGCTTTGGTGATGAAATAGTTACAGAGACTTTGGCAAAGTGTTTCTTCCTCCTACCTTAGCATTGGAATCATGTTAAATAATGTGCTGAGGATAACTGCAGCAAAATATTTTCCCATTCTACATCTCATTTCTTAGAGTTTTATTAGAGAACAATTAAAAAAAAACTTTTCAAGATTTATTTTCAACTTATTAAATAATACCATGTTATTTCATTTTCATGAGAAGGAGGTGTGTTTCCTTAGGACATAAAGGAGGGAAGATTGTTTTTCAGTGTAATGAAAAGGCCATTAATATTGAATTGCTATTAGTGAATCTTGGCAGTGCCATGACAGGCAGAAAGAATTTTGAAGAAGTTTCAAATGTTTCCAGGATTTTCAGCAGCAAGCATGATGCATGTTTTTCCGCATGGTGCAAACTCATCTATATTTTTATGGTTTCTGGAAATTAGATATTCCCAAACCCCATCTTATAAGGTAGGCAATAAAAATGTTGATTTGAATACATTTGTTCCCAGTGTTTTCCTACTACTTTCTTTCTAACAACCTGCTATTTCCCTGGGCTAGTCCATATGACAGTAAACAAGCTAGTTGGTTAAGCAGGTTAAGTGTGTCCAGGACAGAAATAGGAGTTTATACACAGAAAGAGTTATGCCCCCAGACATCATTTAGGACAGGCAACCAGTGATATAAACCTTTCAGAACCAGTCAGGTGCTTGTAATGCTATTATACATTATGGGATTGTATATATGTATGAGAGAGAGATTGATGGAGAGACAGAGACAAACAGAAAACTGGTTATGCTACTAGTATTGGAATTAGCACTTCTTCTGATATAGTGAATGGGCTTACCCTAAATCATCCACTATTTCTTGCTTTATATCCAGGAGATATTACGGTCTTGGAGAAAAGTGTTTCTTTGCAATGTTATCTTGTCTTTATAGAATTTGAAGCTGCAAGCCTTGCCTGTTGTATGCGGTGTCCTAAACAAGGAAGCTAATTGTCACACTGCTAATTACTAATTCAGGGATATCTATGTGTATGTGCATGAATATATAAGTGTCTCCCTGTGTTAATATACACATGTGCACACATATTTGACTAGGAGTATTTTTTTGTCTTTCAGATATAAATAGATGAATGTTTTCAGCAAATATTTGCTGAGTATTGACTGTAATTTAGTCATTTAAGGTCCACAATCATTGTCCAAAACTTTTGAAGTCAAATGTTTTGAAAATGATAAAGTTTTCAAATTTTAGAAAGGCAGTAAGGAGCATCCACCATCTGTATATATAAAAGCCTAAGTGACTGGACGACCAGATGACCGGCTGGTAGCTATGATGCGCACTGACCACCAAGGGGCAGACGCTCAATGCAGAAGCTGCCCCTTGGTGGTCAGTGTGCTCCTACAATGGGACTGCTGCTCAGCTGACCAGTGGGCGCCAGATGCCAGGCTGAGGGCTGGCGAGTGCAGCTGCAGTGGCGCAAGCCTCTCCTGTGGACACTCACTCTGTGCGCCTGAGTGGCGACGGCGGCAGCAGCAGATGCAGCGGGAGCAGTGCCCAGACCAGACTTGGGTTCCTCCCCAGCTGCCTGCTACTTCTCACACTCCTTCATGCTGTGCGGAATTGACACAGATAGTGGGCTGCAGCCCGACAAGCTGACAGGTAAGGCTGGGCTACGGTGGTGTGGAGGTCCACTGATTCCCACAGGCCAGGTCGAGGGACCCCACCGGTGCACGGATGGGCCTCTAGTCTATATATATATATGTGAAACCCTAAGTGACCGAACGACCGGTCACTATAACATGCACTGACCACCAGGGGGCAAACACTCAATGCAGGGGCTGCCTCCTGATGGTCAGTGTGCTGCCACAGCCAATCTCTCGCGGCTTCCCTGGCTCCCCGCCCCCAGCCAATCTCCTGCAGACCTGATCGGCCCCAATTGCCGGCCAGGCCGAGGGACCCCACATGTGCACGAATTCATGCACCAGGCCTCTAGTATCTAAATAAGTTCAGACAAAAAGCTTTGCTGCCACAATTTAGCAAAAACTTTGTGTACTTTTTAGATTTTTGAAAATGCAGACAAGGGGTTATGGACAATGAAGGTATAGACTATTGGTGTCTTTTGGGTAAGGAGGGTGTGAAGTTGAGGGTCTACTCCAGTGATGGTGAACCTATGACACGCGTGTCAGAGGTGACACATGAACTCATTTTTTTGGTTGATTTTTCTTTGTTAAATGGCATTTAAATATATAAAATAAATATCAAAAATATGTCTTTGTTTTACTATGGTTGCAATTATCAAAAAATTTCTATATGTGACATGGCACCAGAGTTAAGTTAGGGGTTTTCAAAATGCTGATACGCCGAGCTCAAAAGGTTCGCCGTCACTGCTCTACTCACTAGATGCCATT